AGTCTTTCTATATGTATCTTAGCTACCAGAACTATTGGTTCTTTAAGTCTTTCTATATGTATCTTAGCTACCAGAACTATTGGTTCTTTAAGTCTTTCTATATGTATCTTAGCTACCAGAACTTTGGTTCTTTGAGTCTTTCTATATGTAACTTAGCTACCAGAACATTGGTTCTTTGAGTCTTTCTATATGTAACTTAGCTACCAGAACATTGGTTCTTTGAGTCTTTCTATATATAACTTAGCTAACAGAACATTGGTTCTTTGAGTCTTTCTATATATAACTTAGCTACCAGAACTTTGGTTCATGCTTACTGGTTCAGTTTCCCCTTTACCTTTATGGTATTGTTTACAAACACTGCACTAACATTTGTTTTAGACTTGGAAGCTATTAAATGCTACAGCTGCTGTTACAGGTTGGTCAAACTTTCACACTTTGTTGTTGAGCCATGTTGTTTTTGATCAAGAAAGTTCTTAGATTTTCAGCACATAATGGTTATTTCATCATGTAATTTGTATGAGGATGTGAGAAAACTTCCCATGTCTGTTTTGTTTCTTACTTAATACTTATGTTTCTTTTTTTACTGCCCTTGTCTGAACATTATTTCTATCTCAAGTAAATAGGTCCCAGGTTTTGCTTGTGAGTTACTGTATTTATGCTCTTCTCACATCTTAATGAAGTTGTTACTAAGAAAGCCATGCATAGTTTCTGGAACTTTCCAGATTATTTAGAGATTCTTTATTCCTGAATTATTAAACTGTATCATTTAGGACCCTAGAGCCAAAGTGTTAGTCAAATTTCTTTGATAAAAAGTAGCTCAAACAGTAAACGTTTTCTTAAACTTTTATTGACATTTACTGCTGACCATTATATGTAGGTGAAAGTTTACATAAAGTGACAGTCAAAATTGAAGGGTTTATTTTAACAGCCATGGTTTGGAATGTATATTTCCTCTCTCTCACTTTATTAAAGACACTCTGAGGCTATCTCCAGAAAATACCACAATTCCAATATTTCTAATTATGGATTCCCTAAATCTTTATTTCTTGTTTGATATGGTATGTCATATACTGCTTTGGATTTAATGTTATGTCTATAGATATTTATAGTTTGTATTTACTCATCTTAATAGAGAAACCTTTTTGTTTTTGGATCAAGTTTTATGCATAACCACTTAGCTCTGCAAGCAGTCTTCATTTTGTTTTAACAATATCATAGAATATCAGGCAATATAACCCTTCAAGTACGTTGACGATAATAGCTGTAGTTAAGTTTAGTACACATTGTTTTTTTTAACTGCTTGTTTAATATTGTTCTGTTTGAAACATAAGATGTCAGCAAGTAAAAAGGATACATCAGAACCATATCCAGGAACAGAAAGTATGCTGAATGAAAAGAAAACGAGATCAAAAGAGAATCTCTCGGATGGTACCAATCCAGTTGTGCAAAGTATTCCACCTCGTGTACCTTCCTCTGCAACATCTTCCGGTGTTGACTTGAGAAGGCTGGGTAACTTAGATGGAGGTATTACACTTGAACCTCTGTCAGTGCCTTTTCTCAGCCCTCTAGTGTTAAGAAAGGAAATAGAATATGTGCTTGATCACGAAGGTGATGACTGTTTGACAAAACCAGAGTTTGTGGACCAGCATCCTATAATTTATTGGAACTTGGTATGTAGTTTTTAAAACTTTCTAGGTGTAAGGCTGTTGTAGTTTTGGGGTGTCACTAATGAACTTGCTAATTGTTAATCAGTCATTAGGTATAAAAGTTGGTCAGGATCTGGGTGCATGTTTGTCAACCTTGTTTATAGGTTTAGATATTCAAGGTCTTACATAACTTTCAGATTTAATGTTAGTGTAGAAGTTTGTTAATACCTGTTTGGTTCTCAACCACTGATCTAGTGATTACATGAACCGGTTCTTACGGAACATGTATAAAGCCACTGAAGTGTGTGACAAAACAACTTGAGCATGTAACATCAAAACTGTTCGTGCAAAATATGACTTCATTCATGTATTGAGTAATGATTTACTGTTTTTTTTAATTGGTTTACTGTTGCAAACTACACATTAGGGACCCTGTTTAGATATTTAGTTGAGACATGATGTTAAACAATTAGACATTCAGTTGAAAGTTGGTACAAAACTAAGAGTTAGAGGTTAACCTGAATTTAGGTATATAACTTTAATGGTTAGCTATTAACATCATAGATGATATATAGCTTGAACAGTTAGATGTTAACCTCATAGCTGATACATAAAACTAACAGCTAGATGATAACCTCTAAGCTGATACACAGCTTTAACAGTTAATGTTATCCTCATAGCTCATACATAGCTTTAACAGTTAATGTTAACCTCATAGCTCATACAAAACTTTAACAGTTAGATGATAACCTGATAGCTGGTACAAAACTTTAAGATTACAGGTTAACCTGAATTTGGTAAATAGCTTTAGCAGTTAGATGTTAACCTCATAGCTGATACATAGCTTTAACAGTTAAATGTTCACTTCATAGCTGATACATAGCTTTAACAGTTAAATGTTCACTTCATAGCTGATACATAGCTTTAACAGTTAAATGTTCACTTCATAGCTGATACATAGCTTTAACAGATAAATGTTCACTTCATAGCTGATACATAGCTTTAACAGTTAAATGTTCACTTCATAGCTGATACATAGTTTTAACAGTTAAATGTTCACTTCATAGCTGATACATAGCTTTAGCAGTTTGATGTTAACCTCATAGCTGATACATAGCTTTAACAGTTAAATGTTCACTTCATAGCTGATACATAGCTTTAGCAGTTAGATGTTAACCTCATAGCTGATACATAGCTTTAGCAGTTAGATGTTAACCTCATAGCTGATACATAGCTTTAGCAGTTAGATGTTAACCTCATAGCTGATA